ATTTAGGTATTATGCATTTTGAGGTATCTTAAAATCCTCTAAATAATGTACAGCAATCTATTCACATGATGTAACTCCTTACTACGGCCATTATTTCCATAATACAGTCGTAGATAGGAGCCTCACAACCTTGTAAGAAAACCCACCACTTTTTTTTTAATTCTTACACTTACCTACATCTGTAACTGAACTTTTCACCTAGTTTATTCTATGGTTATTTGTCTATTTTCCCCTTGCTTTCATGCCTTTTCATCCTTCTTTTACATATGACCTCTTAATTCAGCTTTTTCTGCAGGCAATTGATATCTTTAGGTCTTTTGGATATTTTTGTTTTTATGAGGAGCGTGCTATCGTCAGAATTTTGATTATTAAACACCTTTCCCATAAAGTCATATTCTCATTAGAGACCTGGTCATTGGTATAATGTCTGTGTCTTCTCTAAACATTCCTTCAAGTTTTACACCCCAGAATGTCAGATTGTTAAATGGTTAGGTTGTTGGGAAGTAATGATGCATTTTTGCATAGAAAATCAGAAAGATAGTTATGACTTTCCTGATGACCTAATTGAATTGCTTTCAATTGCATTGATGACCTCTGAAAGGGCACCATCTCATGACCTCAGGAGTCTTAGCATTCATATGGAAAGTACCCTACCACATTATCTATCCTACAGGTGTAGGACAAAAAGGCTCACAGATCAAACTAAATCAATATAAAATACATGGTTAGAACCAGAGGGAAAGAAATGGGGTAAGTCTCAAGCAATGTGAAGAATCACACCACCTGAATCCCATATCCACAATGTGGATTATCTTTCTTTCTCCTTCTCTCCTCCCTTCCCTTCCCCCCATATCATTCTTTCCACCATACTTTCCATAGAAGTGAGTAAAGTCTGTCTTGAGCCAAATCATCTTACCTACCACATTTATAACTTTGACAATATCTCTATCTTATGGCTTATGCTACTTTCTCATTGATTCCTTTTCTGATTATCACTAACAGTAACTTTCCCTCCTCAGAACCTCCGTAGTCTTTACTTCATCTCTCTTCTCATCTGGAAAATTTATATGTATATATTGCCTTCATTATAATTATTTGCATGTTATGTTCTATCTTTTTCACATAATTTTAAGCTTCTTGAAAACAAGAATCATACCTTATTTCTGTTTGTATTCCCCAGAGGTTTCCCATCATACCTTCCTTGCACACAGATGATATTCAATAAATATTTGTTGAATACATGGAAACACTGTTACGTAATCCAATTTAATATCCTGGGAATCAACCCTGAAGGTAGCAATTATCTCCTAGAAGAAAGGTCAACAAGCTTTTTCTGTAAATATAAGTAAATACTTAAGGCGTTTTGAAGTTAGAAACAAAATCAAAGGAATTATTTAGGAACTTATATAACAAGAGAGAAAATGAATTTTTATATAATTTTTATTTGTAAAATTAAAAATATATAATAGAGCATAATTTTTTGAAATCTACATCTACTAATGAGAAAAATAGTCTTGTGGGGGCTAACATTTAGCGTATTGCAGTTCCCTGTTATCAAAATATTCTGTTCATTTGTTGATGCTAACATATAGGATTTTGTGTACTTTACACACTTCATCTTTGAAAGTTCTTTTCACCCAGATAAGTACTGCTAAATACTGCAGTTCATGAACATTTTATTTTAAATTGGGCATATTCATTGCCTAGAAGGAATTTATAGAATCCTACTAAATTCTTCTCTCAATATTTGCCTTTTAATGTATCATTGCATTGTAGGTTAATCTTTTCCAGTTAAAGATTAGGTAGAAACTCAATTGTCTAATTGAAATATAAATATTTCTTGCATCAGGGTCTAAAATATGCTGCTGTAACAGAGCTCAGAAGACCTACCCACTATAAATTGTGTGGAAATGGAGATCTCATTTCTTACTTTAATTTTCAACAGCACATAAAGTCTGTAAAACTGCTTAACATTATTTGTAATTCAAACATTACTTTTTGTTTAAATGACTTTACCCCAGTTTATGTTTTAGTAGTTTTGCCTTATAATATTAGATTTAATTTATTAATAAACATAAGATCTACAGGAAAACCTAATTTCCAAGTTAATTTATTGTTCAATTGTATTAGATGTTCTCATTCAGAAAAATTTCGCTCTCAGTCTCAAAAAATCTCAGTAAAAACTTCACTGCTGCTAAACCATCAACCTGCTGTATATAGGACAAGTCAGGATATTTTGTTTCTGTTTCTCACAAATACAGAACTAATACTTAAATCCACAAGAACCAATGAATGGAGCTTACTGTTGATAGTGCAAGTTCAACAACACATGCTACGTTCAAATTATTTTCCTTAGACTACCTGATGGTGAATAATAATGACTATCCGTAGCTTTAAAAACACCTTACATGTTCACAAGCTTTGTAAATGTGTCCAGTAACTCCTTGCTCATTTGTAGCTATCAGTTTTATCACACTTTAGAAGATTCTACTTTAGGTTATCCTGATTTAGTGTTTTCTTAGTTTCTTTGAAAATATTCTCACTGTAGTCACCCCACAGACGATTCATACAGGCTAATTCTTCAGGCTCTTCGCACTGGACTACTCTAATGGACAATTAAGCTGTATTGCTAACCTTTACTGACCCATCAAGAGCCAAGAAAAAAAAACCTCTAAATAGCATTTGGCTTCTTTTTTTAATCAACTATTGATTGATACTGTTCCAATGCCAACATTTCAAGTGACAGTTCTTGCCGAAATGTTAATGACCTTAACAAGTTTATTTTCACTGCACAACTTAATTAAGTCACTATCAACAAGGGACTTTTCTTGCTGGGTTAATAAATGAAATGTAGACTCAGAAACTTTCTTTGGCTGCAGCCTCATCTTCATTTTTTGTGAAAAATTCCACAGCAATAAGATACTCGGTTTTAAATTTTCTAATTGTTTTGACTGTTGGATTCATGTCAGGTGGGAATATTGTGTTGAATGCTTGGTCTGATGTGTTATGTATACCATGTATTTTTTTAAGCACAGCTATAGTGTCATTGCATAATGAAAATAAGATTTTGCTATCTCATTTGGTAACAAAATAATCCACATTTCATTGTGCCTTAAAAAGACAACATTTAAAGTCCACATTTCTCTTTTTCTTTTTTATTGAGAGAGGTTTTTTTTTTTGCTATACGGAGCATGTGCTTACCAGAAAGACAGAGAGAGACAGAGAGACAGAAAGTAAGAAATCACCCCCCATGGAGGATAAGCATGCTGCAATCCCTTCTTGTCCATTCTCCTCTCAGGATTTTGAACACACATGCACATATGACCAGCATGAGTTTCTAGCCTTCAGGTTCAGGATTTGAACTGTGGTTGGCCATGTGGGAGTCCAGCTACGTAAACATTACACCATCTGCTGGTCTCACATTTCTCCTTTGCTTATTTGGACATACTAGGTATGCATTGGTAATAAAACAAAGTAAAATAAAATGTCACAGGAAACAAATATTTCACTTGAAACACTGTCAAGTCATCACTGCAGTTTGTACTGCGTCAAGTGACAGCAGAACAAGAGTGCCCAATAAGGTCTCCTCCACAACTACACTCTAAAATTTTAACTTCATCTAATTTTTGTCTGTCTTTACTATATTACTCTCATTTTCATTTTTATCAACATTCAAAATGTAACTGCTATTCTTAGGTACTGAGCTATACAAAAACAAATGATGATTGACTAGATTCGGCTTTCAACCATAATTTGAAAACCTTGATTTTAGATTTGGTATTAATGATATTCTATTTGCTTGCTTAATTTTATTCCCAATCAAATAATTTTTTTTTTTTGGAGAGATTTTCACTGTAGGGCGCGGGCGCTCGCCAGACAGAGAGAGACATAGAGACAGAAAGCGAGAAATCACCCCCCAGGGGGGATGGTCACGCCACAATCCCTTCTCCTCCATTCCTCTCTCGGGATCTTGGGCACGCACGCACACGCGCCCAGCGTGAGTTTTAAGCCACCGGGTCCGGGACACGAGCCGCGGTCGACTACGTGGGAGTCCAGCGACTTAGCCATTACGCTAACTGCTGGTTCCCCCAATCAAATAATTTTCAGTAAAGTTTCTGGAATCATATGTGGTTGAGAAATATTTATCTTAAGGCAACTAATTAGTAGAAGTGTTATATATAATAGAGTATCATTTTGCTTTTTAGAGATTTTTCATATAGGGCATGTGCACTTGTCAGAGGGACAGAGAGACAAAGGGAAAAATCACTTCCCAGGGGGGATGGTCACACCTCAATTCCTTCTCCTCCACTCTTCTCTCCCAATTTTGGGCACACATGCACGTATGCCCAGTGTGTTTAAAGTCTCCAGGTCCAGGATTCAGACTGTAGTTGGCCATGTCAGAGTCCAGCAATGTAACTGTTATACCATCTGCTGATCTCAAGAGTATATATATTTTTTTAAATTAGAATACAGCAACATATAGGGCCAGCATATGGCATGGTGGTTGTGGTGCCAGACTCCCATGTGACTGACCACAGTTTGAGTCCTCGACCTGGTGGTTTGCTTTCTCTCTTTCTCTCTTATTCTCTCTCTCTCGCTCTGTCTCTCTGGTCAAACTTAAAAAATAGTAAAAATAAGTAAAATTAAATAAGTATTTTTTTAAAAAAAGGATACAACAATATATTTCATGCCAAGGCTAAGTATGTCAGAAGGTACTGGTGGATTTTAGACTGCCTCATTGTTTGCATTTTAACAAACCATGATTATTGCATTTATGATTATTGAAAATTTCAGGTGACTGGTGTATGGTATTATCAAAATATTTTTAAACATTTCACTTATTTGGAAAAGAAACCCAAGATTACTCCCAAAACAGGGCAGTATGTCAATAGCAGTATTTTAGAACACAGCCTTTCATGCATTCTTTGAGCCTCTAGTTTTTGGTTTTTGGGTTTTTTTATAAACTTCAGTAGTTTTCATTTCTTATTTATGTTATTTAGGGCAGCAGAGGCAGCCCAGGAAGAACAGGACTATCTGGGCCTCCAGGTCCTCGAGGAATAAAGGGTTCAGTAGGCCTGCCAGGAAGCCCAGGAGTTCCAGGCCCAAAGGTACTTTAATGTTTTATTCTGAGTGGTGATCAGTGTTGGCCATCTTTAATGGTTGAATTCATTAGCTAGATCACAGGATGGTAGGTTGATAGCTTTTAATACTATTCGACTAATATAGTTAAAAACACTTTAGGGAAAAAGAAAAGTATCCTTGGCATATTTCAATTCATGTAATTTGGTATGACAGTTCATTAACCCAGGACTAGCATGCTTTAAAAATGCTATCTTTGACTCATTTTGGTTCTTCTTTCTGCTCTCTCATCTGACTTTTCCTCCAAAAGGCAAATCTTATTTATTTGTAGACACATGCTTTCTCAAATACTTTTGCTATTCCTCTACTGAACCTAACCAATGAATAAATCTGCCAACAGCACAGATTATTTCTTAGAGTCAAAGTAATAGTAATTAAAATCTGGTATTAACATTCATTGCATGGAATATTATCACATATCAGTAGACTTTCCAGACAAAACAGAATTCTCTCAGAAATAGCTTTTTTTTTTTTTTAAGAGAGAGAGAGATGTTTGTTATAGGGCACATGTGCTCACCAGAGAAACAGAGACAGAGAGACAGAAAACGAGAAAACATCCCCCAGAGGAGATGACCATGCCACAATCCCTTCTCCTCCATTCTCCTCTTAGAATTTTGGACACACACACACAAGCGCTGGCATGAGTTTTAAGCTGCTGGATCTAGGACTCGAACTGTAATTGATTATATGGGAGTCCAGCGACATAACCATTATGTCATTTGTTGTTCCCTCTCTTAGAAACATCTTAATGTGGAATATATCTGACAACTTAAGAGATCAGTCCAATGTCTAAAGCTATATTATAAAAACCTAAAGCTAAGACATTGGCACCCTTACATTATTACCTCATAACTTGGTTTTTATAGTTTCACTTTTAAAGAATTTTTAAATTTCTGACCCATGTGGGTAAACTGAAAATCACCCATTTGCTTATTATTCATTATTTTAGCTTATTATTCATTATTTTGCTTATTTATTCATTATTTTATATTACTATAAATATTCCCTTTTACTAAAAGTCAAGGCAGCTGAGCAATCTCAAATTTATAGCTTTATCTCAAGACAGTGGAGGACAGGGCGAGCCCATGGCCTGGTGGTTAAGGAAGCCAGATCTCATGGCCAGCCATGTGGTTGAATCCCACTCTGGCAGATAGGGAAGTACACTGGCCACATGTGTGTGCATGCCCCAAATCCCAACAGGATTGAGAAATGGAGGAGGAAGAATTGTAGCCATGCCCCATTGGGATTGCATTCTCCCCCTCCCTCTCTGTGTGTCTCTTCTTTCCCTGAAGAGAACACATACACATGTCACGTTAAAAAAAAAAAAGAAAAGAAAAAGACAATGAAGAATAATTTCCTTCTTGAATAATCTTTGACCAAAGTCTACTAAGCATCATTTTTCAATAATCTAGCTCTAAAATCCACCAAATCTCTAAATTTACTTTTAGAGATGATGTGAAAGGTCTTCTCTCATTTCAAAAGGAAAAAAATGAAAAAGGCTTGATTTAAAAAAATACAGTAGTAATTATTTAGAATATGATTAAAGTAATTATTTTATAATTACTTTAGTAATTACTAATTATGTAATTTATGTAATTTAATTACATAATTAATATGTAATTAATATTTTAAGGCCATAAAGAGTTTACGTCAAAGAAAACTAAGGAAACAGAAACAGAATATGGAAATTTCTCAATGATGGACATGAAATGATAATGACAAAAACCAGAGTCCACACTTCAGGAGACTGTTCTGTTTCTGATAGAATATAACTGAATTATCTCTGCACCATAGGAAAAACACAGCAAAATGATATCAGTTCAAATAAAGTACAAGCTCCATCATAGATAAACACACCCCATAAACCACAACCTTACCATCTTCTCTGTAGTCTACTGTCTTCTTCATTTCGTAGATACCTTGCTTCCTCCTCCTTCCCACACTTACCATCATAACCTCTGAAATTTTCTTTTCTCATGGCTACACTACTTATTCACTATAAATAGTGTGAAAAATACTTGTAGAGGGGATGATCATGCAGAATTTTATTTCCTTAGTGCTTTATACTGTGCCCAAGTATGGGTTTGCATTTGGGTCTCTTTAAAAGTCAGTATGTGAATTCAGCTTCAGAAGTCAAGGTCACCTTTCTCTGTTCTGTCCATAGGGAGAACAAGGGCTCCTTGGTCAACCTGGAATTCAAGGTAAAAGAGGTCACCAAGGAGCACAGGGTGATCAAGGACCACGTGGAGAGCCTGGCCTGAAAGGGCAGCCTGTATGTGCCCGCTCAGAAATTCACTCCAGCGCTTACCCACCAGCCAGGTTACCACTGTGTAATAATGATGGTCACGTCTGTTCACATTGCAGGGAGAACATGGTGGTCAAGGTTTAACGGGTTTCCAAGGATTTCCAGGCCCCAAAGTATGTTCACTGATTTGTTGTTAGTTTCTAGCTGTCTTGATAAAAAAAAAAAAAAAAAAAAAAAAAGTTGAAATACCTGTATTTAGACTTGAGCTCTTATTTCTTTAATCTGCACATTTTCAGTTAAATAATTGAGTTTTGAATGTGTTCATTTTAAAACGTATGCAGATATAAATTATCCTAGCATTTTATCTTATCATTTGCTTTTCTTCACCTTTATTCTTTATTTCTAAGCATTTTATCTTAAAATTTCCATACGTAGGCAAAGCCGAGAGAATTCTACAGTGACTGCATATACCTAGATTCTGTAATTAACATTTTATTCTATTTTCTTTATCATGTGCTTACCCATTTCTCTCTCCATCCTTCTTGGGTGTATTTTGATATAAATTGCAGCCCTTAGTATACCTCCTCTTAAGTACTTCAGTACACACATTATTAACTGTCACATTCCATTTTTTAGGGGCCTAGTCTTGATAGATTTGTAGGAGATTGTTTCATTTGTGAAAATGGTGCTACAAATTTTAACTTTGTATTTTTCATTTGTCTAGGGTCCTGAGGGAGGTATCGGCATTGTTGGAATTTCAGGTCCTAAAGGTCCTGTTGGACAGAGAGTAAGTGTAAAGTCATTTGGCCTACCCAAAAATTGTGGTTCTTTGCTTACTGTAGGATTTTAGAACTCTGAAATTAATGTGCTCTAAATTAATATCTTAATAAAATGACTTTCAAGATAAAAATGCATAAGAACACATGTCAAGTTTAACCTTTTGCAGTTAATATACTAGTTTGAGCAAAATATCCCATAGACCACCCATACTTTCCAGTTCTTACGTTAAAAAAAAGTCATCAGAATTACTGTAAAGACTGGATAATGTATTTATTAACTAACACCAGGAATGAAAACATAAAGCAGTTTCATGTTAAAAGCATTTATACAACCACAGTCCAGAGACCACCACCATGCAGCACCTGGCAGAGGCTTATATATGACCAAAGCTTTGAAAAATAGTTCCTGATAGCTGTGTTTTCCCAGCTCAGGGACAATATCCCAAGAGAATGATGAGGAACTGCTCACAGAGTTGCAAAAATCAGGTCTGAAGAGCTTTAATTAGCAGTTCAGTGTTCATAATTGCAAACTGTAAAGATTATAAATAGGACAAATAAGTCACCAGCAGTTAGTAGCTATTGTTTGGGTTATTTATTTATTTTGCTTTTTTGTTTTGTTTTAGTTTTTATGACTCACAGCCTCTTAATTGATGAGATGGTCTATAAAACTAGAAAAAAATAAAAAAGAACAGAACATTTCAAACTAGGACAGCCAGGTGGCATTGTGGTTGAGGTCGCTGGATCTCGCCTGGCTGGCTGTGTGATTTGAATCCCAGATACACATACAGGTGGCTTGGAAAATATGCTGGGCATGTATGTACGTGCCCAAAATCTCTAGAGGAAAGTAGAGGAGAAGGGACTGTGGCATGGCCACACCCCTGGGGAATGGTTTTTCACTTTCTCTCTCTCTCTCTCTCTCTCTCTCTCTCTCTCTGTCAAACGCAAATGCATACACCCTATGGCAAAAACTAACTATATTCAACAGTGGTTTGGTTATAATAGTACCACCTCTATGGCTAACAGCAGAGACTAGTCCAAGTGTGGGGGAAAAAAAAAAAAAAAACAGAAAAAGGAAGAAGGGGAGCAGTTCATATGTAGGAGAAAGGAAAATTAAAGAACTTTCCAACTGAAAATCAGTCTTGTACAGAATACCAAATGACAAGTTGAATTTTTTAAGTTGTACACTCCTTCCCTAGCTCTCATTATGAACTCTTTTAATACATAGAGAAATATTGTCATGTGAGTTGTTTGTTTAAAGATTCTTCTAAAAATATTTTTAGGTATAAACTTATTAGTCATTTTCATGTTTCTGAAGAACCAAAGAAAGTTGATACTTTTATGTAAAGTCTAATTCTTGAATATCTATTATATGTTCTGTATGGTGAAGCTAATCTATAGTAAACATTGCTTTTAAATTCTTATTTATATTAAGTTTTCCCACTAATAACTCTGTTCACTCAAGTTTTATTAGGTTTTCAATTAATTAGACTCTTTCTTGATATTGTCGAAGGAAGTTGGCTACCTGCCTAGCAAGGTCTCACAGAGAGCTAGACCTCTGTGGGTCAGGATAAGTGCCTGTAGTGCTTTGCAGGTTCATAAATGTTATCAGTTCCTCAGCATTAAAGTTCTAGTAACTACCTCACAAATACTCATTTATAAACACAAATATAAATGTATCATGTCACTATAAGAGACAAGTAAAAGTCCTGATGAGTTAATATTTAGCAAGAGGCCATTTTACAGCAGGTACTACTGTCCAGTTTTTTCCCATTATCTCATTTAATCCTCATAAAAATTCTATAAGAGATGCTACCATCCCTATTCTGCAGATGGAGAACTAAGGTTCTGAAAGATAATATACTCGAGGCCATACATGGCTAATATACAGAGGAGTCACAATTTGAATTCTTATCTAATTAACCAAATTATATGTTAGAAGATTGCTAGCTAATTGTAACTTTAGAATATGGAATGAATATTAAATGACGCAG